AATTTGGGCAAAGATCCGAGAGTTCCGAAGGTACCGGTAGTAGATATTAATCTTAACCGGTTGAATGAAATAATTCGGTTCGGTTAACCGATTAAGGAAATTTTTCTCGGTTCAAATCACTAATCTAGAAACATAAATTTATGTGACCTAGTGCGATTTGATTCCTAATCGTTTTTATATTTGGTCAGGATTGCAATAAATTAAATTACAAACTTGTGTTCTTATAATAACATTCTTCAAAACGGATACGTGTTATTTCACCGACAATCACTTTATAGACAGCTTAGTTCACCGATAGTTAATTCGCCGACAAGTTCATTTCACCGACAATTATTTTTTATAAATTACACTAACCTTAACTCTAATTCTAACCTGGCACTAACAACAATGACCAGAATTACTTTGTCGGTGAAATGTTGTCGGTGAATTAATTGTCGGTGAACTAAGCTGTCGGTGAAGTGATTGTCGGCGAAATGCGCACCACCTTTCAAGACAATCGGTAAAATTTAAATATCGAATTATTAAAAATGCTTACAATATTGTATTTAATAAAACAAAAGAATGAACATAAAATTTTCTAAAGTACTGAAATATATTAAATTTAAATCAAAATTTACCTAAATTTTTGGATCTTATCAGAAAAAAAAGTTCTAAACCTAAAATTTTACGGGTCCCAGGTTCGGACCCACACGAAGGTTCGCCGGGTAATGCCCGGCCCGGTCTATTAGAATAATACTGAATGCTGATTGGCTAATTTCAGATTTTTCATTTTTTTTTGCTGTTATCATAAATCCAAATATACATACTTTTCAAAGCATTTTCGCTGGCAAATAATTAGAAAGCCTATCAGTTCAGAAAATTGCAAAACACTTAGGTGTTAATAGGTCTTCTATAAGTCGGGCTCTCCAGCATTTTTAAAGATATGGTTATTAGAAAACTTCCATCACTTAGGACAACCAACATGAGCGATATACATTTCAGGTTTAGTAAACTTGTTTTCTTAAAAATTATGAAAGGTTTTCAATATATATCCGCATCTTTAAATTGCAATTTATTGAAGGTCTGCTAACATTTAAGTGTTTGGCAATTTTTTCGAACTGATAAACTTTCTAAAAATTTTTTTTAATTACTGTATTTGCCAGCGAAGATGCTTTGAAATATCATATTTCTGTTTCCAGCCGGAGATATATATGTACGTACTACTCGTACCTTTAATATTTACATTACAGCTGCTCTCATAAATTTTGGGACATCTGGTGAAAAATTGACCGAATGATTGTTTGGCTGATTCGATAAGTTTTGATTTCGATTACGTAATAATGTGCACTTGCTAATGGCAGAGAAAATGTATATCGATACCACTATTTTATTTTTGCGCTTCAGATAAGTTGGGTGTTATATTAGATTCAGTTGCTATTACTTCAGACAAAGTTGGATACGTATTCGGATTCAACAGTAGTTACTTCAGACAGGCTAGGCATTTTAAAATGTTTACTATAAATGAACAAGCTAAAGGCTTCTCAGTTGTTAGATCAACCGGTTCAATATCTGATTTGCTTTTGGTTTATATTTTAAAAATTAATTTATACGTATTAAATAAATAAATAAATATAGATTTTATTATGATTTTATTGGTTATAATTTTCAAAGCAGTTTCGACAAATATAGAAAACTTAGTTGTTTGGAATTATAATTTGAGTTATATTTTCTTTAGCTCAATCAATAAATTCTTGTTAATATCGAAACTTTTTTTATTAGTGTCTCTTTTTGTAATATATTTATTATGAAAGCTTATCTCATATTCAGAACCCTTCTTATGTGATTTGTTGGTTGGCAAGAACGGATATGCATTCAAGCGAAATCTTAATTTTGGATGTGTTGACATTGTAGTACCGTTTCAGAATATATTCGCAAAAAATATTTACTTGTTATTGGTCATGTTTGTTGATGATAACTGATTATTAACTAGGATGTGGCCACCGTTATGACGTAGCATCCGCTGTGAATAAATCAGCAATTGTCATTAACAACGTGACCAAACTTGTTTATTGTATACTTTTGACGTAAGCACCTAGCATCTTGTTGGGTCATTTTTAAACGTGATAAACAAATTTCGCTCACCTCACCTCCGGCAAAGTTTGTGTATCATGTATTAGAAGTGACCAATAACAGGGACCCGTAAAATTTTAGTTTTAAAAACTCGAAATTTTTTCTGATAACAGTAAAAAATTTAGGCAAATTTTAGCTTAAATTTAAAAAGTTTAGATAAATTTTGATTTAAATTTAGTAAATTTTAGATAAATTTTGATTAAATTTAGAAAAGTTTTATAGTTCATTCTTTTATTTTGTTAAAATACTTAAATAGTTCAGCATTTAAATTTTGCTGATTGTTATTAAATATAAAATTAGGAACTAAGTCACATAAATATATATCTCTAGATCATAGCATCAATGTCCAATACAAACTAATTATATACTATATACCTTAGAAGTTAAATAAGTTAAGTTCGTATAAAATTTTTATTAAAAATAAAATACGTATAACTAGGGATAAGCAAATCAAATATTTTTTGAATCTACTGCGGCCCACATTTTAGTTTACTGCTAATGCAGGCCAGAATTGTGAAATTCTGAAATATTTCGAAATTCTGAAATGTTCCACCTGCGCAACATTCCATTCCTATGTATCACAAACTATAATATTTTAGTTAAAATTGATAATTTTAGATATAAATTCATCAGAATTTAAAAATTTTAGAAATTTGAGTTGATACTTGAAATTTTAGATTTTTTGTGAAAATTTTAGATCTAAAATTTTACGGGTCCCTGCCCAATAACATGCATGAAAACTCACATAAGAAGTATACAATAAATATCATTACTGTATCGATTTGAATCTATTATGCCAAAATTATAGACTTAGTCAAATCAGCCGAAAACAGCTGTAATATATATATATATTAGCGAGAGCACTAGGGCTTCGTCATCTAACAACTATCATCAACATCTATAAATTTTTTGAAATTTTACGGATCCGATACGGGTTCGGACCCTAACTTTAGATCCGAATCGATGTTTGGAATGGTCCGGATCTTTAAAAATACTCGCCCGCGATCCGAATCATGCGGAACTGTGATTGGACCCGTCAAAAAAAATGTCACCCGCGGGTGGATCCATGAGCAACCCGGGTAGAAACCGGGTGGGTTAAAATATATCTCTAAGTAATAGTTATATCCTTGGTATATAGTTTGTTTTAAAAGTCTAGCATCAAAAATAAAATAGTGATTTTTTTTAGATCGGGTAGAAATTTACTAAAATTCATTGTTTATTATGCTTGATATGTAAAAATGTAAAAGTAATTCTTGAACGTCCTCTATCAATGGTAAATTTTTGAATAAAAAAGATGGTTAGTATCTCAGTGAAATGGTAACGTTTAAAAATTTACCTCTGATCCATTGCTGCATTGAGTGGGTGCTTGAGAACACCCTTAACCTAATATAAAATCCGTTTTTGAAAAAAAAAAAAAGCAATTAATATACATACAAATGCATATTTGAATTGTAGTAAAGCCTTTCGCAAAAGATCATCTCGCAATTGCAATTATTATTCATGGGTCACCCGTCGGGTGACCCACCCGTTTTCACTCGGGTGGCCAAAACTCCACCCGGGTCCAATCACTATGCGGAACATTAACTCCCACCTTCTTCAAGCATGCGCGTTATTTCAAGTACGCGCATGTGCTACATTTATGTAATTGACTAATTTACATTGATCCAAACATGCGCGTTGCTTTAGGACGCGCATGAACATCACTTCGAAGCCATGTATGTTATTATTAGTTGAAGCGATTTCGAAATAACGCTCATGAGCGTTTTTAGTATTTTACAAAATATTTCTTGGACATTTATTATGTAATAAGCTTTATTATAATTTTAACACAAATCTGGTTATTACTATTACTGATGATAAACACATAGTCTTTTTATTTTTATAAAAGGTTAAATATAAAAAACAAAATAGTTATGGCAATAGATAATTATGAATATACTTTAATAAAGCATATTTTTTGGTCAAGATAAATTTAAATTGTTGGTAATTTAAGCAGTTCTTTAACAATAGGTTCTAAAACCATCTTTTTGCAAACAAACAAAAAAAAAATTTCTGTCAAAGGACTGAAAACACATGTAAAATTGTTTCTAATCTGCCTAACATCTAGTTTTATTAAAATAAATTATATATCACAATGTATTAATGTTCATAGAAAAAAATTGTATCCGCATATGTAGTTATTTAATGTTCGTTTGCAATCATCTCATGTACATCTTGATCCACATCATCTTCGAATCTATTTTCCTCATCATGATCATAAACCTCTTTTACAAATGGTTGTTCTTCGAAAGCAATACCAGTTGTCGATTCCGATTCCTGAGAAAATTCTGTTATATTTGACACATTATCAGACTCTCTGAAATCTATATTCACACTATTTAGATAATCTTCATAGTTATCAAGATGTGTGCTGCATTCAAAATCCCAGGTACTTATCCATTTAGCCTTCTGACAATCTGTTTTTGTCCACGGACCAGCATAAACTAATGGTGAAAATATTGTAAATACATATACACTTGCCACTAAAAATATTATTGCGGTAATTAACTGATTTCTGAATGACAGTTTGTGTGTGAATAAATCAAATGCTACGCCAATTAAAAGAATTGCGAAATATAATGAAGGGAGATAATGATGTAAAAACAATTGTCGAGACATTAAGAAAAATGGGAGATAATGCAAACACCATCCCATGAAGAATAATCCGGACCATGATTCAAAATGTTCTTTTTTACCTAAAAATGATAATGACTAAATTAATATTATTTGACATAAATAGTGGAATGATGATAAGTGCAGGTATTATGAAGAATTGAGCATGACTCCGTAATCAAATGACCGAATCAAGCTAATTATATTTCATTCAATTCGTCTTTGAAGCAATCAAATGATATGAAAGTTTCTTTATTTTGATCGTTACAAGAAATAGCTCAATTTGTCACAATACACCACTCTCTACTACATAGATATGAAAATCTCACCATCCATATGATCTTTATATCCTCTTTTTTCTCTTAAAAGAAAGATCAATTTTGCAGTAATAAAGAACAATATTGAAAAAGTAGAAGCCCACCACACGAGAGGGTTTCCAAGTAAATAAATTTGGCGATTATCTTTGGACCAAAAGTTAATACCTCGACTTAAAAGTATCCAAGATAAAGGGCGAGATTCATAAGGGTGTGAATCAGTTAGTCCACTATTGGTAGTCCACATAACTTTGTTAAGTTCTAAAAATTTTTTAAAAAATCCAGGCTTCCGATAATTGACTTTCTCTGCATCATCCGGTACTAATAAAGAATTAATGAACTTTGTGAACATTTTCATCAAGCACGCTTCAATAAATTAAAGTAATCACATACATTTCGGATGAGAATTTGATTCTATAAACCAGATAGTATTTGGATAGTGCCCGCCTTTAACGCAGGTGACTTCTTGCTGCTCAAAACCCCACTCAGGTAATTTAACCTTATGAGAATAAAGATAACACCCGGTAATAACATGATAAAGACGGAATTTTGTATGAAGTGTACGAAGACGTTCGCGAGATTCTGGATCAGATTTATCATAATCAGTGATTTCTACACGCCAATGATCATTTGCATCACCTTCAAAGCCATCATATCCGTAAGTACTAAAAAAGACAATATCGCCATAAGTAATTTCAATAAAACTTTGGAACAATTCAAAAATCCTTACCTGACTTCATTTTGGTAATCTGCATCCGTTACTGGTGGTCTAACATTGTGACTATGCAATCTCCTTTTAGTTATAATATGATTGAGACGAATTATTGAATTATGATATATCCAGTTTGGGTCGGTTTCGCTAAACGGTACTTCAGGATCAGTTTGATTATCAATAGCCCATAAATTATTGTCATCTTTATGTGGATACAAAGTAACCTGTTGTTCTGGAAAACATTGAATCTAATTAGTGAAATCTTCAAACTTTATTTTGAAATATAGATAATACTTACGTTTGCTACCCGTTGGATAATTATGCAGATGTGAATGTAGATAACCTCCTTGTGTATTTTCGTGCCTAATAGAAATTGTAGACCCATATGCAATATCTGTAATAAAATTATATATGGTTAGAAAAGCAATATAAATTTTAGAATTATAATATTTAATATGATAATATTAATAACCAAGTGGCATATCCTGCATTCCATGTCCTCCTAATGTCTGTTGGAATTCGGAACTCATAAACCCAACACCCGACCCACTGTTTCGTAATACCGCAAAATGAATCACAAAGAAAAACATGTACAAAGATATAGGAATAACAATCAAACATAATGCTCGAGCAATAAAATGTTTGAGAAATAGTGCCTAATGAGAAATAAGAGTTATTAAAATTGTTGAAATAAGATCAAAACAAACTAAAGCCTTTCTTATTTTACGTACTGGAGTAACACGTAAGTCGCCTAATAGTCTCCATAGTCCACTAATAGTTGAAAGCCCAACAAAGGCAATTGTGAAAAGACCCACCCATTTAACACTGATAATTTTAAATATATAAATAATTAATTTATTTGCTAAGTTTATTAACGCTATTAGTAACTTCTATAATGCAAAAATAAAAATCTCAGAACATACCTAACTGTAAGACCGAGACCTACACCAGTCATCGCCATCCAAACCCACCACCATAGTTCAAATGGTCTTATTTATTTATTATAAATGATAAAATAATCTTTAATGTGATGATCAAATTTAGAAAGGTTTGATAACAGCAACCGTTAAATATATACCTTTTTTCTTGATTCAGAAATTTGACCCACATTAATACTGTAAATGCCGTAAAAGCTATCAATGGTGAATCAAGTAATATAAGTCTACTTTGAGTTATCAAACCATTCTCTTAAAGAGAAGGTAAAATTATTAGTAATAAGACTAATATATTTAGGATTTATATGAGTTAGTGTTACTTAATCTCACCAAATAGTATTAAATTTGCGACTAAAAATGCGGCAATCGTTGAAAACCCCGATAATTTAATTGTTAGATATGCAATTGGTATTACTAAAACCCCTAGAATTCCTGATAGTAAACGCATGATCACGTACGGAACTTTAGGTTCAATATAGTCCCTATGATTTAAAATTAGCAAATGAAATTTAAAAATAATATAAAATAAAAAATTTACAATAAAATTAAATGTAAAATATTATTAACTCACATGCCAATTTCTTTAAAATCAAAATTCCCATCGAAACCACCCAATACGCCAGCAAAAGTGATGAGTAACTTTGCTAGCGGAGGATGCACATCCATAAAGAAAGTACCCTTAATATATTTTCTAAAAAATTTGATTAGTAAAATAATAAAATTATATGAGTTACCAATTTGAGAGAAAATTTATAATGAACAATATCAATAAGTTAAAATTGAATTCTTACGATGCAAAACCGCCAAAATGAACCTCATCAAAACTAAAGTAAATAAATTCAAAAATCGATTAAATTTAACATTTAAAAATCAATGGAATGAGATGATATAGACTTACACTACGGAATTAGGATGTTCTATATGAAATAATCTTACAAAGAAAGCGATTATTGTAAGTCCAATAAGATTATAAGTGTCTGTAGGAGATAATCCTATCAGGGATCTGTAGGATTTCCTTTCCTTTAAGTTTTCGTCTAAATCATATATCTGAGAAGTAGTATAACTTTTATAATTTGGTTTATAACGATTTCTTATGTCGCCCGTACTCACGGGCGTTAAATATTGCTCTGCAAACGTGAAAAATAGAATAATTAATAAACAGCTTCATATTTTATTTGAAGTGACACGATAATTCACCTTAAAATTCAGATAGGATTACCTGGATAGAGCGATGCCATTGCTAAATAATAAAATTAATAAATTGAAAAAAAATATTTCATAAATGGAGTTTATATAAAGGCGTTATGCAGATCATTATTTACAGGGCATTTAGGGCATTTTCAAGTTTGTGTATGATAGAAATTTTCCGATAACAGATCCAGCGAATTCGATAATGCCACGATAAATTTACATTACATTAATTAGTGTAACTTCTAGAATCACTACTTTTATTTGTTATCTAACGTAGGAAAGATTCATATGATTGGTTATCACTATCTAAATTCGGTGCAAACATCGGTTTATACGGTATTTATTATGCAATTAAAAGTCTTGACACCAGATATTGGTCATGCAACGATTAATATCATGAAATTTGTTTTGTCAGAGCAAATGGTTGGCTGACGTGTGCCACTGTGCGTTTCTGACAGAACAAATTTCATGATATTAATCGTTGCATGACCAATATCAATGTTATTACAAGTCATTATTGGCTAACTGAGTTTTAATTCGAGATTGTTGTGCTTATGTAATAACGTACAAAAAATCAAAAAATAACAATAAAAAATCTATGATCATAAGAGTTTGCACGATCAGAATGATATATAAATAAGTGGTCACAAGGTAGGTAGGTTTATTTACATTTTTTCTTTTTATGCTCATTTTGGTCTGTCTCATTCACGCCCACTCTTAAATATTTAAAATCTATATAAAAATTATGTGAATATATGAGATCTTTGCTAAGTGAATGGTCCATAAATTTTATGATAAAAATTTATACATGTCACTCTGGTTATATCGACATTTTTGAAACATTAGTAAAAAAATTCAAAATGTTGGTGAGTTATACCGACATTTTATATTAAATTTTTGAAAAAAAATGTCGGTATAGAAAGATTTTACTATGATGTCGTTATATCCAGAGTGATATGTAGTCATCTGATGGCCCAATTCGAATAGAGCTCTTTTTTTTGGTTAAAATCTATAAAATGAATTAAAATAGGATCATTCTGTTGAACTATAAATGTAAATTCAAATATCGATGAAACAAAAGTGTACAACGCCGCCTGTACTTTTATTAATAACGCTATTAGAAACAATGTCGTCACTTTGAAACAGTGCAGATCTATCAGGAATGTACTTTTGCGATAATTCGATGAGTTTCGAACATCGGTGATCGAATACCTGTTTTTTAAAACATTACATCATTTTAATGTTATACTATTTAGGATCAATTTTATTACACCGTTTTTCAATTTCCTTTTATTTAAAGTAAAGCGACTAAAATTATGGTTAGAGTTAGGGTTAAGGTTAGTGAATAGGCAAGATTATAGGTAAAATTGCTCCCCCGGCATTTTTTATTAGTGCTCCAAAGCAGGTTTAGACACTCGTTTTTTGTATTTTCTGCTTTTTTGCTTTTTTTTATAAAAATTGGTGATTTGATTGGTCGATCAATGTAAATCTCCCAAATAAGGAAATTGAAAAACGGTGCGGTAAAATGGGTCACTATTTAGTATACAATTTACAGAACTTATAATTCGTCAATTTACATTTATAAAAACAATCACATATTAATTCTAAATATCAGGAATACCGTCTTATACTACGTTTGGAAATATGGAGTCTTTGCCTTGAAAATGACCTTACGGTATCATGTACCGTAAGGTCATTTTCAAGGCAAAGACCTCATATTATTCTGCCAAATAACTTTGGATTTAATAATGTTCTCTTTGCAATGTGTTATTGCGAAATTTTCGTGCCGTTTCACTTAAAATTGGAAAATACCGTTCGGAAAGGTTGCCATATTGAGTTTCTTTTAGCCATTATTATTGAATCAAAGTGCTGCCAAACTCAAGATCGTTTTTTTAAACCCACCATATATTTCTAATTTTTATTTTTTAGAACTATTAGTAGCAGCTTAGATCTTGGTTCTCTACAAGCTGAAATATTAATAGAATTAGATTCATCCTCTTCATTATTATAAGAGAACTCTACAGAACATACAGTATCTTAATTCAAATTCCATGTTTTAATTATGTCAGTTTGAGATGTTAATCAAAATTTTACCACCATCAAAACATAATTAAAGCTTAATCTAATTAAAAACCCAATGAATGAAGGCTTATTTCGATGCTATTTTTGATCTAATTATTCATCGATCCACCAGAATAATACTAGAAAAGAGGAATGCACCAATATCATATATAATTCATAATCACTGTATTTCTCACTGTCAAGCAACATCAAAAGCCACCAGATTTTTTTTCCATTAGGTACTTCTGTCCTCGATATTAAGATCAATTTTGAAACTATCGCCCCGACAATGCTAATTTTGCTCAAACTAAACATTTCGAATTTCAAAAATAGTTACTTACTGCAGTATTATAAAGTTGGAACCTTTAAATTAATAATAAAATATTATCAGTAATTAGTTAATTATAATTTAAAGCTAGTTTGGTGCAAAGACATTTAATACTTCAATTATTTTAATAATGATGCAAGACTTCGGCCGTTATATGTTTGAACTTTTGAAATCTTCGTATGTACAGTATGATTTGATTACTGTTTAATGATGCAATGCATATTTGTATATGGGATTTGAATAAGGGTAGAATAGTGATAGAATCTCATAGGCAGACATTCGTATGATTGGATGTTTAAACCAATTTAATTTTACATCATTTATACAGTTTAAAGTACTTTTTAAAAAAAAGAAACTACGAAGAATAAACAAAAAAGAAGGATATAGAAAGTTGTAGGACTCCACTATTAAAAATAATCAAAATTCTTTTTTGTTTTAGGGAAGTTAGCATGGTGGTAACCTAATTTTAAGAAGAAGTCGCTATTATGCTAACTTCTCTAAAACAAAATAGAATTTTGATTATTTTTAATAGTGGAGTCCTACAACCCTGATAAAACTTTCTATATCCTTCTTTTTTGTTTATTCTTTAGTTTTCTTTTTTTACAAAAGTACTTTAAACTGTATAAACAATGTAAAATTAAATTGATTTAAACAGCCAATCATACGAATGTCTGCCTATGAGGTAGAATCAGATTATTGTGATTGTATAACGATTTATGATGTATTTATTTAAATAATCATGTAAAATTTCCGTTTGGCTGTAATCTGTAAATTTATGACAAAATAGCGAATATTATGAAAGAAAAATCTGTCATTTGGCAGTGGTTCACGGAACAAAAAAAATTAACAATTCAATAATTTAGATAAGTATATATTCTGTAAAAATAATTCTGCCCGAACCTCAAAAACGGTTAAAAGATGCGAAGGTATCAATCTAAACGACGTAATAATATTTGAAACTCTTTTAGAAACCATTTTTAATACCATATCATAACTAAGATATATATGGAGAGTCACAACTTTCATTTCTTTTGCCTGATGGTCACGGTCAACAAACAATTTGCGTGACGGGATTGGCATTTAATATTGGAAGACTAGCTCTTATCCCCGGGCGTCGTCGGGGATAAGGATTTTGGTTATTTAATAATACACAGCTTAATTTGAAAAATAATTTTAATGTTAATCCTTGTTTACAAAAAACAATAAATAAAAAATCTTTTTATGGAATATTAAAATTATTCAAACTAAATATGGGGGAAGTCAATAGAAAAGAGACAAATCATTTTTAGTAACTTTTTTAAAAAATTCTATATTAAATATCAATCAAACTCAGTCAAAATTTTTTGTTTCTTGTATATAGAATTAAAACAATAAAAAGTTTTATTAGATTTGGTTTAGTAGTTGTTGAGATATTTTAACTTAAAATTAAAAAAAAACAAAAAAAATTTGTTATCTTTTTATTGACTTTCTCCTATATTTGGTGATTTAATTTTTTAAGGGTAGGGTGTACGTAGATCAATTTTCATATGATCTACGTGGTATATTGAATTTTTATATAGTAAACAAAAA